TATGATTACTTGTGCGTTCACATATATTTTTTTTTTTTCAAAATGTTCGATGCTTTAACGTTTGCTGCGATTCGGTTTGGGTTCAGTTGAGACACAGCAAAAATCTCTAAGGGCGCTTTAAAATTGAGATAAGGTTTTTGCCTCGAAAACTTTTTCCTTGGGAAAATAGAAAAAAAGATATCAAGTAAAAAATAGCAACAACAACATACTTATACATATTCAGAGAAGATATCTTTAAATACAAATAAACTCAAACCAAGCACTTACAACAACACACCGACAGATGTACATACCGACACACCAACATTCCGCCATACCGACATACCGACAGACCTATATACGGACAAACAAGCAACTGAACTAACGCAAAGGCATGCATGCGATAAGTAACTTTACAACCATAAAGTTTTTACTTTGGCAACGAAGTCCTCTTCCATGCTTAGATCCATATGTGTGTGTGCGAATCATTGCACAGGCGGCAAAGGGGAATCGTACAATATCATTCTGTGGGGTTCTAAGGCAACATAAATGAAAGTGGAGAAACTTAACTGAAGCAACTGAAGCAACTTCACTACTTCATGGCTTTATATCAGCTTCGGTTTGGCTTTCGTTTGGATTTAGCATGTTTTCATGTTTAGGTTTGTGTGTTTATGTGTATGTGTGTATGTGTGTCTGTACATGTGTGTTTGTGCATTAATGCCAACTAAACGCCCATAGGAATTTTGCCTTTTCCTTACCACGACAGCGTGTCTGGCCTGAGTGGGCGGAAGGTCGCCATAGCCTGAGACAGCTTAGTACATTTGTTTAAGAATTTTTTTATTTTGTTTGTTTTCTGCTGCAACCTTATGCCCTACGGCCGAATGCACAGAAGGGCAGAGAGCAGATAGCAGAGGAAGCAGGGTTTTTGTCTGTGCTTAAATATATTTAGTGCACAATATTGTTTGATTTGCTTCTTGGCTTAGGTTTGTTGCTTTGTTTTAAACGCCGGCTTCAATATGAAGAACTTTCATGTACGAGTAGGAAAGCGGGAAAGCGGGAGAGGCAGAGAGAGGTACGTTATTGGGCACATTTTATCTCTACGAACTCATCGCATAAGTAACACTGCGAAATTGCAGGGGCAAGTTTTTGTATTTTTAATGTGTCTTTGCTAGCAAACACAAAGTCAAACCCTAGGCGTTTGCTACAGTTTGTTCAACTTGAAAGTTTCCAGTTTATTTCCGAATCCAAATTTTTTGGTTGGCCTTGTCTTTGGTTGCCACAGAATTTCAGAGTATCAATTTTTACGTTTGGCCCTATTAGATTCTTGTTTATGTCAAAGACTTTAGTATGCTAAATTGCAATTAAAATCCTCTTAGCAATGTTGTTGGCCAATTGTGCATTGCGTTCCGGCAGTTGCACATTTAATGTGCAGACGAAAACATTTGATTTCGATTCGAAAGTAAAAGGAATGCAGTATGAAATTTTAATATTTACCTTAAGAATTGTGCTTAATAAACTTCGACTCAAAGTTTATTAAAAAACACTTCAAACGAAACACAAATCGAAAAACAACATTCATCAGAAGCTACGAAAAGAACTGACCCTTTTAAATGCTGGGATCATCAACAAATTACGTGGACGAACGTCATCATGAATATTTTGCATTGAGAAATTAATTATTCGATATTCTCAGTTAATTATTTCAAATGTTGATAATTGAAATTCTATTCCAGTAACGACAAATATTCTCATAATTTTACTTTTAATTAAGAATCCATATCGGCTAATTATAATTCACATTAATGACATACGAAATGTTGCCATTTTTATTGACAGTCAAGCGCCATTTAAAGCCCTTTAATCCCTCATAATAAAGTCAAATCTAGTTAAAGAGTATAAAGATATGTTTAGTAACTGATAAGGTAAATGTAGGTTCCTTATGAATATTGAAGAGAAGGGAATATTGAAAGCAGACGGTTTGGCCCGTAGAGTTGCTTCCCTAGATGTATCCCTTATTATTATAATGCAAAGTGATAATACACTGCGACGTAAAAGATGTATTGTGCCTAGATGTATCCCTATGGGTACGGGTTTATGTTCCCCTGAAGATTGTAAAGAGAGTTTCTTATCTTTTCTTGCTTCAGATTGCTTATAACAAATTAAAGACACGTAGATCATGTGTGACTTCCCGGTTAATACGAGTTATTTTTTTGTCTTTTTAGTCTTTTATATTTTATATTATATTTAAAGATTGGTTTTCGGAGAATGAGGTAGCAAAACGGTAAAAATCGTTAATTCAAGTCAGCGGTAAGTTGTCTGGGGACCTGCCACTGCAATCAATCAACCTAACTAAGTAATCATTTATTATTTTGAATAAAAAATAATTCTATTACTGCTTTATTAGGCCAATACCAGGAAGCAGCTATTGTACATCTTTTAATATTCTAAGTCATCTATTTTAAACTCTTTGTTTTTTTCTTGTTATTCGAGAAACAACCCGAGCTCCGTATTTTCGAGATACTAAAATATCGACGTTTAAAGTTGTAAATGTTGTTTGGACAAACAAGAACTAACATAGTGATGACATCTAGTGGCAATAAGTATATGAGATTTTTACATTAACTACATAAACGATCATGGGCATGGTCAAGAGACTTTTGTCTAACCGGAAAGTGCAATGATAAAAATCAACGAAACAAAATGATGAACAACAACTTCATATGGTATCTGGTGTTATTTATATAATTAATTTAAGAATTCACAATTCTAAATAAAAATGTCTGAATAGTCAAGCTCTGTCACACATTGATTAGTGGGAAAATTTATTCAGAAAAATAAAATTCACCCAAATATTCCCAGCTTAAGCATATACAAGACTTGAATATATAAATGCAAGAATTATTTCCAAGACCACTGATGATGGGTATTTGGCAATACTCGAAACTGTATGGTCAGCCAAAAATTCAATTAATTAAAATAATATAAAATGAACTTTTGTTGTAGTTCACTACTGTTCGAAAAAACCTCTTTGTTATATATTTAGTGCAAATAAATTGCAATCCTATGTATATTATAAATTAAATACTCCCCTTACTTGACAAATTATACGTGTCATTATACCTAAAACATCACTTTTTGTGTTAAATTCATTTGCATTTAATTAATGGAAAAAAAAACTATACAAAAATTGATTTTAAACCGTTTGGTTAATAAAATGTTTATAAATAACTCTTTTGTCCTTTTAATTTGTTTCGTTTATCGCTTAAGAAATTTTTGTTCGAATACGATTTCTCTCAAATCACACATCACGTTGTCCTGGTATTTCCTCCACTCTCTCCCTATATTCTTTTATTTTGTTCTTTCAATAGTTCCTTTGTAAATATTATTTGTTGTGATGTATATGTATACTAAACACAGCATTATACATATCCATATTATATATGTATTTGTTACTAAAATGGTATACAAGATAACCTTCCAGACAATAACAAGGGTATGTAAGATATTGGACGCATCCAGTCTTCAATACCCATAGAAAATGTGTTTTATTTCATTTTATATATCAATATAATGATCAATAGAGTTAACTTACATTTGATTTAAAAAAATTAGCTTTATTTTTAATATAAAAATTTTAACATTAATATTTTTTTAACAATATTATATGATAATATATTAAAAATATTTGGGCCAAGAAATTAGAAATCAAGTAATAAATAGCAAATTCGCCAACAGCGCACATTTTAATTTGAAAGCGGATTTATGCAAGACATTGGATGCATTCACCCTTTAAGACATACTCGTATATACAAAATGCCTTTGATGGCATTTTATTAAGTTGTTCGAAAATATTTGCAATGATCGCCGTTGATTTGAATCGATCGGTCGTTATGTAGTCACTATGTCTTGCAGATGTCTGCGATGACGGCTTAATCTGTTTCCAGTAGGGGAGATAATGGAGCACATACTTGTGTGACATTAGTGAAATTAGTGTTAACTAAAAACGACACCACACAGTTTTTAGAACTAACAAGCCGAGAATAAACTAAGAATATGTCACCATAAACCACATTAGCTCCGGGTGCATATATTTTATTTTTGCTGAGTCAACACAGAACAAACTCAGTGTAACTGCCGTTGAGTAATAACAAAGAGAAATAACAATAACCAAAATGGGTCCATTGTTAATATTACAGCTTTATCTGTAGATGTGGAGTATATAGCTTTAAATCGACCTATATATATAAAGTGGACATTGTCGGAATATATAATAAAATTCATTTGAAAATCTGTTAAGTAGAAATGATGTAAAAGGTAGAACAAAAAAATGTTGGCTAGGTAATGTAATGATATAATGAGTAGTGTTAAGAAATTATATTAAGTTTAGATTCTCTAACATATATGTCATGTTTTATTCTCTTGCAGTAAGTTGTTGTATGTGGTATTAAATTTTTACTGCTCAGCACCAAATGACATAAAAATATATTCTTCTGTGGTACTATTTTTGTTCCACTGTAAGCTCAAAGGGCTTTTTCTTAACCTCAGGCCCTGTTGCACAGCACTCGCAAGCATATTTATTAACGCTCACACAAACCGGCGCACATGTATATGTCCGTATATAGACGCAGTTAGCTAACAAGCGCCCCTTGGTTATGTAATAAAAATGCGTTGGCCCGTGTTGCAGCACTTTTGTGCCATCGCCAGTTTTAGTGCTGCCATAAACGCTGCCGTCATGCAGTAGAGTAGAAATGCCCACAGCAAAATTTCATGGAAAAAAGTAAGAAAGAAGCCCCATTGCTCATGTAAAAAAACTGTGAAGCAAATCGTTTCTTAAGTTTGCCGATTTTCTTCAAATTCGCGAATTTTACAAAAGAATTATTAAGTGTCGTCGGGAAACATATTTGCGGGGTTATCAAATCAAACATAGATGTATGACTGCAATTTACAGTCATATATAGTTAAAGAAATATAGACTTTATAATTATTTCGTTTTAATATGACAATTTATTCTTTCATTTTAGAAAAAAATGCGATATGGATCGAGAACGCGAGAGAGAGGCAAAATCTTTGGAGCCGCGAGATTTATCATCGACTGGCCGTATTTATGCTAGAAGCGATATTAAGATAAGGTAAGACACACCATAATACATGAACTATCAATTTATTCTTATGGTTTTGTTTTGAATTAGTGCGTCACCAACTGTTTCCCCAACGATCTCAAACTCATCCTCGCCGACGCCCACCCCACCAGCAACAAGTACATCTGTACCGCCTATCGGATTACCAAACACTGTAGCGGTTGGGCCAGGCAGTGCATCTACAGCAGGTGCCAGTTCCTATTTGCATAGTAATCATAAGCCAATCACTGGCATACCATGCGTAGCAGCAGCATCTCGTTACACAGCTCCTGTGCATATAGATGTTGGTGGCACCATCTATACCAGTTCACTCGAAACTCTGACCAAATATCCAGATTCAAAGTTGGCCAAGCTCTTCAATGGTTCCATACCCATAGTGCTGGATTCATTAAAGCAGCATTACTTTATTGATCGCGATGGTGGCATGTTTCGACATGTGCTTAATTTTATGAGGAATTCGAGACTCTTGATAGCAGATGATTTTCCTGACTTAGAGCTCTTATTAGAGGAAGCACGTTATTTTGAAGTGGAACGTAAGTTCTGAGTTGTGTTTTCATTTCAATATTTTTTGATTTCACAGATAATTTTACTATTAGCTATGATAAAGCAGCTTGAGAGTATGCGGAAGGATCGAGTACGCAATGGCAACTACCTTGTGGCACCACCGACACCACCTGCTCGCATTAAAAGCAGTCCTCGCACAACTTCGACACCCGAATATAACTACGAAGTCGTCGCCTTGCATGTATCACCTGATTTAGGTGAACGCATTATGCTGTCAGCGGAGCGCTCATTGCTGGACGAAGTTTTCCCAGAAGCCAATCAAGCAACACAGACCAGTCGGAGTGGGGTGTCCTGGAATCAGGGTGATTGGCGACAAATTATACGTTTTCCCCTTAATGGTTATTGCAAATTAAATTCCGTGCAAGTTTTGACACGTCTACTGAATGCTGGCTTTACCATTGAGGCTAGCACTGGTGGCGGTGTAGAGGGTCAACAATTCTCAGAATACTTATTAGTGCGTCGGATTCCAATGTGATAGTCTGGAGCAGAAATTTGTAAATTAAGTTAAAAAATCCACATAATTTCATAGATGAAAACCATTTTAAAATATATATAAACCATATTTCAACTAATATTATTAAGTGTATAGTTTGCGGTTATGCCGACATACGGATACCCTACCCAAGGATCTTATTGCACTTTTGCACTTTTGTTAGAATTTAAGTTTTTCGGCCTAGACCTAGATACGTTGTTGGCAGTAACTTAATTATTGGATTGATGTGGCAATGAGAAAACATAAATAATATTGATGTCCCGTGGGATTCTGTTTTGTTTGTATTGTAGGATAAAACCAAGATTTGCAATATTTCTACTTAGTGCCATCAGGTTGCTTAATTTTTATGGATCACTGACACACATAGGATATGTAAAAAATTTATATTATAATCAATAAATTAGCATAGGTATCGAGAAAAACGGGGTTAACAGAAGCTCAGTACAACCGGTACACACTATCGTTGGTGTCGAAGACTGCCACTTTGCTCTGAGGCTGAACTTTTTAAACCTAAAGAGAAATGGAAAATGAATTTAAAATTCTTTTGTCAATATTATGAATGCAACTGTGTGCTTTGTAAGGGGTGTAGGGTGTTGCGAATAAGCATTTTTGAATTAAATTAAACTAATTGAGAATCGCTTTAAGCGGTTCTCACTCGTCGTTAGTGTTTCACAACTTAATTAAATAATTACAGTAGATTTAAGCTCAGCTCTCGATGTTTATATATGCAATTTAGTCAGGAGAATTTGTTGTAATTTATGTTTTGTTTTACAGATAAGTAAGGTAAATTTATTTAAGATAATTTCTGAAAAGTACTGATTTAATCTGTTAAGTACATATATTATGCAATTAAAAAAAGAAAATAATTCATTTAGTTTAGAAGTGCATTAAATGTTTTATTTTGTTTTTATTATTAATTATTAATAATTAGACATATTTTTAAAACTACTTGTAGACTTTGGTTCATAGTTTAGCGATTCGATAATTAATATAAACTTAAGTTAGTGTAGTAAAATAATCGTAATTGAATTTTTATCAGTGTAAACTATCGTAATTTTTCATAAATGTTTAAAGAAAATATAAATAAATAATTTAAGAAAATTTTTGAAAATACTTTCAATAAACTATAAAAAATTAAAGTTGCAATAAATATGTTTTTTATTCTAAAAAAAAAAAATAGCAATAAAATAAAAATAAAAAACTAAGGTATTTGGTAAAATAATTTAATTATAAATATGTTCGTTTATATATAAAATAGTTTATATACCATATATTGAGATTATGTTCATGTTTCTACATCAGCAATTAAAGAAAAAATTGTGAAATATCTTATGGATGAGAACCATTGCTGCTCTTTAATAAAGGTGGCTTCCATATTGAATAAACGACTTTCTACATAAGAACGAAGCATCTCAACATATATCATCTGAAGTCATTTAATATTTTGGTCTGATCTGATAACAGATTTTAGTAGAATTAGCTAACCTAAACAACTTTCTTCTTTACGTTACAGCCTGTAGAACTACAAATGAAACCATTTCGGCGTCGATGCTAAAGAAATGTTTATTAGTAAACTTAAAAAGTTATATATAACCGATTTTTAAGCGACAATTGCTTAATGTAATTCATGAGTCAACTATTGTAAGCTCCATTTTCAATTATTTTACAAGATTTTGTTGCAAAGATTCATCAGGATCTTACTAAAGCTGTTCATCAAAGAGATTACTCTACAGTAACCAGGATGGTTTGATAAGAGGAGTGTCGTTATTAAACAGTTTTTAGCTGCTACTTGTGGCAGATATGGAATCAATTATTACAAAATAAATTACTATAAAAAATAAGGATAATTACATTGAAACTAGTGACATCTTTTATCAGTTAAATGTAATTTATACGCGTGCCATTGCTTGACCATCCTTATAGAATATGATCTCTCAAAAGTGGCCATTACGCTACGCTGAGCAAATGTATTTGCAAATATCAAAAAAGGAATTATTACTCCATGAGTCCCATTTTATAACAAAGTAATATCTTCAATACACGTTTAGGGCAGGATCTTTGTTCCAGGGTTACCTCTGGTTACGCCAATAATCCTCAATATTTTCAATCAAATGTTATTCAGCTACACTTGTTTTGTATTAGTTTAACTTCTAAGAGTATGAACAGGGAGGTTACCTCTAATGCCACATGGTATTGGGTGGTGTACAAAGCCAAAACAATCGTAGACTTTTTTCCAAACATTTACAAATAAAATTCTTTGAGTAGCATTGCTGTAACATTCCAGTTAAATATATATATATATATATATATTTTCTTAAACTAATTGCTTCAAAGGTGATGTCGACTAATAGCGTTCGGAAGGATTATATAGCTTTTCAGATTCTTTGTTTAATATTTTTGTCGTAGGCGCGATTTTTTGGAATAATTTCAAGCAAATGATGGTATTAGGCTATGTTTTTGTGATCTGAATGGCGATGTTGTAGTGATTTCAAATACCCTGTGTCCATGAAGATAAATGATGAATATCAGTATTTATTAAAGCCGTTGAGCCATTATGTTTGTTATCTAGTGACTTTTTTATTACTCTACATCAAACATACTTAAAATACAACATGCATCTATATAAATAAGGCACATTATTAACACCTACATATATGAAATAAAGCGATGAGTGTCTTTCAAGTGATTAAATATAATTCCAATACTGGGGATATGACAAAAAAGAAATAGTGTTGGCATAAACTGCGCTGTTCTTTGTTTGGGATGACATACTTTACTAAGTTGGCCATTACAGACGTGAGTAGTCCTTCGCCGCGTCCAGAAATATCAGCCAACCAGTCCGATCAATGCGTTGCTGTCGCTAATTGGTAACGAGCGCCCTCAAATCTTTGGCCACCTGGTCCTGCGAATCATACCAATTCATACACCTTTATGGCCGAAACACTCTCTTCTATTCGCAAGACATGAATAAGCCATCAGAGCTGCTGAATTTTTATGCGTTTAACTATATCAATGCCGCGGTTTAGCTCATATATCTCATCGTTCCACCTAACTCCATACTCATTGGCAACACATAAGGAACCATAGATATTCCGAAGAAGATTCTCCTCCGCCTTCTCCTGGTTGCTGGTAACTGTCAAAGCTTCTACACCAAACTGCAGCATAGGCATGAGAACGACTTGTAGTGCATGATTTTTGTTTGTCGAGAGAGACAGCTTTATTTCTCAATTGAAAACTTAAAGTTTTGGATACAGTTTTGGATAAACTCTTGTTAAATATGTGTCAAATAACTGTAGAAGCCATACAGAGTTATAATATATAAATAATAATAAGAAGAAGTATTTCAAATTTTAGATCATAATGAATTATCTTAGAAACGAAGAAATGGAATACTGAAAAGTATCGAACGATAGTTTATTTGAAAAACTTTGATACTTTGATAAGAAATTATATGAAACGTTGTAGTTATGTAAAATACATACATACATTGTAGTTATAAATACATTTGAATAATTTTGAAGATATAAACAAAAATATTTCGCAAAGGTATTTATTTTTCGCAAAGGTATTTTCAAAATTAATGTAATAGTCTCCAAAGTCCACCACAACATCCATGGCTATAATACTCAACAATAAATAGGCACCAGTTATTGAGTCCTATAACTCCAACTACTCAGTACATTTGCTCAAATAATATATAACGAAAGATTTTTGACATTCTTTGATCCACTATGAATACATTTTTAAGTACGACACTACATATTCCCTACATTAATTCCAAGAGCTGCAGAAGCACAAGCACCGATTTCGAAACTTGTAAGTCATAACTATGGACTTTAGGATATTTATTTTTCTTGATGGGTTTCAGTGCCTGCTTATAATTGTGTCGAATATCATATAACTTAGCAGTTACACATAATAAATAGCTTAATAAGGAATGAGTTTAAATAAATTCATAAATATATATATACTAGCGGACCCGACAGATGTTGTCCTGCATGATATACTAAGCGATTAGGATATTAAACAAAGTAAAAAATGAAAGACAAATAATGTAATAATTTTGTTATTCTTTATTTTCAAATAACATCAATTTTTCTAAAAACAATTCGTAATAATCAATAATGTTTGTTTAATTTCATCTTAATGCGAGTTGATGAACAATATTTTTAGTCAATTCTTGAGGAGTATAAATGAATAAACTTGACGGTTTTCCAATGCGAGAACACACCACTTATAATTGCCCATGTGAAAAGACCTGATTTTCTAGATCTATCCCACAAATCGACATTGTTTGACCTTGTGACTTATTAATAGTCATGGCAAATGCCAAGCGAATTGGAAATTGCAGACGTCTGAATGGAATGGGTGAGTCTGAAGGGGTCATTGGAATTCGTGGCAGGAGAATAGCTTTACCTTTAAATTTGCCATTCAAAATTGTAGCTTCAAGTACATTCCCTAAAATTTTTTTTATGACTTATCTCGTGCCGTTGCATAGCATAATTATAGGTGATCCAATTATTAATCTTAAGTTATGTGGTGGCATGCCTGGTAAATCCAGCGATTTCAAAAATTCAACAGGATAGGAAATTTTGAATCTAAACCATCCTTGAATCCACTTGAACACACAAAAAATTTCATCAAAATCGGTTCAGCCGGTTAGGAGGAGTTCACTGTTAACACACGTACAGAAGAATTATATATATAAAGATATATGTATATATCCATATTGTAATTATTTGACACATGATTTGGTCATTACTTGATACCAATCATTACTTTAATGATCATTTTCTATATTTATGTGTTTTTAGACTTCATGAGTTTTTGAGATCGCATACGAAATTATTAAATGATATGTGTTATAGATTCATTAAATCGGATTAATAAATGAATGATTCCCTAACAGTTCCTATTTTCATGTGTTTATTGGGTCATGTGTTTATTTACTGCTGAATAAAACCCGTTTTCATAATCACTTTTATCGTTATTTGGTTCATTTCCATGCTAAAAAATTATCGCGCTGTTATTTTTATTGTGGTGGATAGCAAATATTAATCAGTGCCTTTCAAACTTTGCACAATATTACTTTTAACCGGTACAAAATATATCAGACACAAACCAAAATGTGTCTAAATTGACGTTTGGGTTTATTAAAGACACAAACCATTTCTGTCACGTAACTTTTGTTGAAAGACGGATTAGCGCAAATATGTGTACGTTAATCGGAATTACAGTTGCGGTTATACAGGGTCCTGAGTAATAAAAATTTGGTAAAAAATTTGTATAAAAAATGAAACATTTTAAAACTTTGTAGTTTACATGATTAGATGTTTATCTCGTATTGAGTACTCAATTTTAACGTATAAAATGCTTAATGGATGGAAATTTATTTCCTCTTCGTATTTTTATTATCTCCTATTTTTATTTTATTTTCATGTTTTTCCTCTAACTTAAGAAAAACCAAATATGCAATTATTTAGACTGTAGTGGCTATTGCTTTCATTTAAATCTTACTGTGTAATTTTTGGGCTAAGTCCAAATAAAACAATTTCTTCCCAATTTTCTATTTGGCATTTCTTATATCACCAAATTTTTATGTTATAAAGATGGAGTGAGACTTTAGGTTTGATTTTTGTTTGCAGTGCTGCCACACATTTATGACCAAAAATATTTACAATGAAAACTGCAACTTTGCTATTAGGACTTTGTTAATGTGTAATTCTATTATAAAATAAGTTCGTTGGAAATTTATTTTATTTCTTCAAATAACATGATGACATATCTCTTATTTTTAGGTTTTAAGAAAGAATAACGAGTTCTTCACCCAATTTTGGATACATTACATTTAAATAAATTCACTCTT